GTTCTCAAAAATATGATAGTTTAAAACACACATCTCCTTTTTTATTTTATTGCGATATAAAGAGAGCGAATCTTTCACTTGGTTCGTATTAAGAAAAAACAATTATTATCTTTCTATTTATGTGGGTAGAGGGTCACAAATTCGTTGTCACGGCTTTATAACATAGAAGGGATATGACTTGTTCCAGCCAAATGATTATAAGTTGCTAAACATTCCTTCAAATGTCACACATCTACATCAACAATTGTTACATGAGAATGTCACAAATTCTATAAGGTAGCAATATTTAGCCCTCATTTGTTTCTTACTTCTAGAAGAATGAGAATGAAAAATATAGTCGTTACGGGCCTCATGCAAGAGATAGAAATTCAAATTTGATGACTTGATGTGATGAATAACGATCATATTTTTCATTTTAATGAGGAAAGAATGGGAACCAAATAGGGATTTAGACTTAAAATTGGTTGCAATATCTCATGTGATCTCATGTCATATGAATGGGTCACAATTACACAATATAAAATAAGGAGTAATTGGCATAAAACGTCCTTACCTTTCAAATTTATTGTGGAAAACATTCTTACCTTTCATTTTTTTGGCACAAAAACGTCCATACCTTCCACTTGTTAAGTTATAAGTTTCTAGCAAATGAAGATTTATGTTAATGTTTGCATGTCTAATGGTACTCCGGTACGGCATACACCTCCATGTCTAATGGTACTTTCGGGTACAGCATGTACTTCCGGTCGATGTGTCGTGTTAAGTCATGACTCTACGTGTTTGAGATTCTACCGGAAATCCTACTATGAAAAGGTTTCTAAAGTTACAGTTTTGAAATGTATAGCTTGATCACGAATGCACAATTGATATCTATTGAGTTTTTTTAACTCACGGGTTTAACCCCTTCTCTGTAGATTGATATGATTCTACTTTGGGTTTGGATGATGGAAAAGATAGAGAGTGGTGCAACGAGCCCATGGAAAACCCGGTGAACAAGTTATTTAGATTTATTTTTGTGAACGTTTTCAATGTTATTTTTTTAAAGTATTTGAATAACGCTGAACGCGAGAACAAGTTGTGTTTTCTTCAAATAAATTACGTTTCGTTATTTTTTTATTTCAGTGTTTTATTTAAAGTATTCGAAAGGTTGTTGTTAAAATTATCATTGTAAAAATTAAGTTTCCGCTAAAACATATTCTCTTATGACTAAACCACCGGTTAGTTAAGTAAAGTAAGTAGCGTTCCGGTCCACAAGGAGTCGGGGCATTACATTGACGATTTTACCCTCTATTCAAATAAAACAAAAAGAAAAGAAAGAAAAAAATAAAAAAACAAAAAACTAATTGCAACCACATTCCCAAATTTTCTGAAAATTGCAAATGGTAACTTGATAATTACCATATTAAATAAATTGAAAAAAAATCAAAAAATTAAAAAAATGGGTTGTCTTCTCCAACACACCACACCACACCCCCAACCCACCCTACTATTCATCATCTTCTTCTTCTCCCACCCCACCCTCCACCATACAAAATCTCTCTGCACAGCAAATCCTCCAAATCCGAAACCCCATTACATCTCTATGCACAACTGAATAGGATATAATTCATAAATCAAACTACATGCAGCTTTAGAAAACTGAAAAATTGAATTACAAAGAAAGATTAAAAAATAAAATGAACTTACAATGTAAGAGAGTGCAATATCAGGGTCAATGGTGGAAGCATCATTTTGAAAAGAGCCAGCCTCTCCTTCTTCAAGTTCGTTTTCTTCCATTTCTAACCCTAAAGTCGACAAATTTCCCCCATCTATACTTCCCACAGAAATCATCAAAACTGAAAAATAACAATAATAGAAGATAAATAGCAAAAAAGTAAGCTATTAACAACCCTCGAGATATGTAATGGGGCTTTGGATTTGGAGGATTTGCTGTGCAGAGAGATTTTGTATGATGTGGTGGGTTGTCGTGAAGAAGACAATCCATTTTTTAATTTGTTTCTTAATTTTTTGATTTTTTTTCAATTTATTTAATATTATAATTGTCAAGTTACTATTTGCAATTTTTAGAAATTTGGAAATGTGGTTGCATTCTTCTCTTTTCTTTTTGTTTTATTTGAATGGAGGGTAAAATCGTTAAAAATTGATGAAAAGAACGTTCAGCGTCAAGAAAGTGGAAGGTAGAGACGTTTTGTGCCAAAAAATGAAAGGTATGGATGTTTTCCACAATACACTTGAAAGATAGGGGCGTTTTGTTCCAATTACTCTAAAATAAGTTGGAGTCACGATTATTTTTTGTTAAGTAGTTTATCCAAAATTGCAATGACGTCATATAAATTACATGGTAGAAGGTGTCACGTCACACAATAGAAACAAAAACATTCCTTCAACTTTTTTTCTTGTTACTATAATGTCTATCCATAACTTGCAAAGATTCCAAAAGATTTAAAGAAAACAATTATTTTTATATATCCACATATTAGTTCTTAGATGAATAGTAATCCAGGGAACCGACAAACCATTAAAATATATATATATATATTTATTTATTTATTTATTTATTTTGGAGTGATCTAATTTTTGCAATTTTTTTGTGAAAATTTTCTCATTTCTCAAAATGTAAGATCAATAATATAAATTATCATTTTTTTCCTAATTAATATCTATCCGCTTCATTATGGTTTGATATCTAATACTTTAATGAACACTATTGTAATAAAATAGTTGTCCAAAAATATGCTTTAACATAATTTTTATGAGTAAATCGACCATAATTTTACTAGTATACACAAAACAATATAGCACAAGTTATTAAAAATGTGAGGAGGGAGTTTTGAAAAGTTGAGATTTGTACAATGAAATAATTTAGAAAATGTGATAGTAACACAAAATACTCTAGTGCAAGAGAGATCCTATTTTCGCGGTATGTCAAACTAATTTTGTTTGTATTGTAGACTAATAATTTTCGTCAAAAGAATAAGATTTACTTATTTTTTTATGTGGTTAGTGTGAATTTTAGAATAAATCATATCAATTTGATAGCGGTTTAATTTACTTTAATGATTGTAGAGGTTTATCGGCCTTCAAATACAATTGACACTGTAACATTATATTCTATTAACTTATTCTAGTAATATATTAAGGGTCTGTTTGAGCCACATTATTTCAAAAAAATAAATTCTTAAACAGTGTTTTTGATATCATTTCAACCACACATTTTTCAATAAAATAATATTACACACAGATCAAAAACTTTTTCTTATTTTTTAACCACACATTTCCTATCAACACACTATTCAAGAATGCATTATTACCAAAATAATGTGGCTCAAACATCCCCTAAATTTCAATAAAGGAGTTAGAAATATTTAAGAATATTTACATTTTTAAGTATGATAGGGGTATATGACACTCCGAGTCATGTGAAATAATTGGAGACTTGTAAATGTAGCCAATGCTTACACTAAAAAAAATGCACTAAGACTACGCAAGGGACGTATGTGTGTTTAAGCTATAAATGAGTCAAATGTTAAAACTTGCTCGCAATGTATACACTCGACCTTTATATTTGACAAAACTTTATAGAGATTTGTGGAAGAATTTAAAATTAAAGAAGGATTTTTTTATTTTTTTGGAAGTATTATAGAATAAAGAAGAGAGATAAAAATAAATTTGTTACTAGATGTCCCATTTAATGACATATAAAAAACTTGTAATAGTTGAATAAAAGTTCGTAGAAACATATTTACAAAAATATTCTAGAAAAGAAATATGAAACATAAAATATAATCAATTTAAATCATCAATCTAACAGAAGTGAAATTATAAAATTTCAAAGAGGCCTCATTTTTAACTAATCAAATTAGAGGTAGAATAAGAGCTAAATATTGAAAGAAAGAGTTTTAGAACTAAAAATTGTAGTGTTCTTGGCCTGGAATTTCATGCATATGCTAGGAATAACATAAAATTAATCATGATAAAGATGCCAAAAGTATTAGATAGTTTGCAATTGATGATTAACTGATACTTATGGTTTTGATGTGGGTTTATCTTCCTCTGCTTATCTGTTAAATAGGCAACTGCTTTCCCAAGTTCCAATTGCAGCATTAACAAGCCTAATGCCAACTTGAGTAAAAACCATAATAAACCACACAAAACCAAAATAAAAACATAATAAGAACAATAATTACATGCATCGGCTGGATAGAACAAAGGAATTGTCAGAGTCTAAACTTATGTTGGACCATCAGAACCCAACCTCTCTATTCAACAACAAGAAAACAAAATTTCAATATAATATTTTTGGTTGCAATTAACCAAAAAATAAATAAATTAAGAAGTATATCACGTAAGGTGGAACGAAGGCCAAGTCTTAAGATAGAACATGACGCCAAAACTTTGGAATTCATCTTATTGTGTGCCTTGCTCTTTACATTATACATTATTCATTGTGTTTTGTTTCTTTCCAAGATCCAATTTGAGAGGGATTTTGCTTTTTCTTTTGTCTAAAGTCTAGGGTTTAATTCAAACGATACAAGACCATGGGCTTATCTCATGGCTAGGATTTTACCTTAAGCATTACAATTAACTTTTAATTCTTAATTTACAAAAATATATACATTAGTGCGAAATGGAGACATTGTATTTTAAGTAGATTTTGATAAAAGTTGACGAAATATATGATTAAAAAATTGATAAAAATTATGAATCCTTGAAAAGTGTGGATTAAAATTATTGAAGATCCGGTTCCCTTGTACATGTGAGACGAATCGAAGGATGGAGCCGAGACATCAAGTTAGCGGTGCAAGATGAATCGAAGGACGAAGTCGAGGCGTCAAGTTAGCGGAGATGTTTAAATTTCTATCAAAACTCTACCAAATAGGAATTTAACGCAATTAAAATAATAAAAAATTATAAATAATTGGATAATCTTTCATTTTATTGTTGGGGGGATGAACTTAAATTCGCTAATATATTAGCGACAAGAACGCTGCACGGTCGCCCATACAAAGACTAATTGAGTTATCAAAAAAGGGCGCTTTGGCTATGGCTTCTTTACTCCACACTGTCTACTCAATACGCTCATCTTCCAACCCGTTTCGAACACCAAAGCTTGCTGATCCACCCATTTCTCTTCCTTTCAGCAGTAATCCAATTCTTCTAATCTCTAAAAGATGTTTACTTTATTCTAATTATGGCCGCTTCTTATTTATTTGCATTGAATTGATTCAGGACGGAGGCTTGTGGTGAAAGCTACAGAAACTGATAAAGACGAAGGTTAGATTAATTTTATTTTGTTTCCAAAATTTTTATAATGGGTTTTGAAGGTTGGTTGGTTGGTTTGAATCACGAGTTAGTTTATTTGGGTGGAAACAAGAGAAAATTGGTTGAATTTGGAGTTTGGGTTTGCGTATTGTGTGCAGTAAGAGCAAAGGCACCAGATAAGGCACCGGCTGAGAGTGGTTCAAGTATTAATCAGATTCTTGGAATCAAAGGAGCTAAGCAAGAAACTGTGAGTCATCAATTTGCCCCAGTAATATAAGATTTTTTCTTTATTTATTTTTATTTTTATTTTTTTGGGGTTACTAATAAGTTTGATTCATATAAAATGCTTATTTTGACGCAAATGCAAGAGTTATTCTTGCTATTTGTATGGATTATTGTGAATGGCCAAGCTCAATAAGATGGATGGACAATAAAGTGCCTCAAATTTGAGTTCATGTGACGGCATGCATCTATAAGCCATTTGGAGTGTGTTTGAGCCACATTTTTTTAAAGAATGTATTTTGGAATGGTAGATTGACGGAGAATGTGTGGTTAAAAAGAAAGATTTTTTTTTATTTGCGTGTAGTATTATTTTAATGAAGAATGTGGCTGAAAAAAAAGAGAAAGAACAATGAATTTTAGGAAAAATGGGAATCAAACACCCCCATAATATTTTTGAAGACAATTAGGCAAATAACATGTTTGCATGTTTTGGAGAAACCATGGAGCTTAAAATTGTTTATATTTGTACTGGCTTATGCTGAAATTCCCTAATCTGGCTTGATAGATTCATCCTTATCCAATATCAGTTGTTTTCTCGTGATGAATAGGCTTTGTTGTCATCATTAAAATTTCGATAGTTCTTTTTCTTTGATCACTAATCTGAATTTCAATGATGATTAAATAATCACTGGATGGAAAAATGACAGATAAAGTGTAAATTAGAGAAATTGAGTTCTTAGATAGGAAGAACTTTTGTCCATATATATAGCAATTAGTAGCATTTGATCCATTTGGCGCAATTAGTAGTGTTTGATCCATTTGGCATGTGTTAAACAGGATAAGTGGAAGATACGGGTTCAACTTATGAAGCCTGTTACATGGCCGCCTCTTGTGTGGGGTGTCGTCTGTGGAGCTGCTGCATCTGGTACTTACTGGACATACACTTTCTTATTATTACACGTTATCAACATATAATCTAACCATCTCCATTCCAAAAATTTTGATTATTTGTTTGCTGGTGGCTTAATGCCACACTTTCCCCTTAGCTGGATTGGGGGTTTGAGCTCTGAGGTATTTTACTCAATACAAGGGAAATTCTTAATGCCAATTCATGATCTCTGCCATTATTTTGTTTCAATGCAGTAACTTTGTGGTTGTTTCCAATATTGCATTGACTGTTAATCATAATAAGCCTCTATCTTTGATTAGTGGGGTTTCTTGATTTTAGAATCTTTGGTTGATTATAATCTTCTCCGAAAATAGGGGCATGTCTTGAGAGATGAATTTTGTAAAAAGAGATATTTTTTGGAGAATGTGTGATTAAAAGTAGGAAAAATTATTGTTCATGTGCAAAAGTATTTTATTGGGAAAATGTGTGGTTGAAAATGAGTTTGAAGAAAAATGAATTTTAGAAATCTGTACCAAACTTCTTAAAATTAATATGCTTGTGTGTCATTATCCCTTCGGTCTCTACTTCATCCCAGGGAACTTCCATTGGACGTTGGAAGATGTAGCTAAATCAATAGTCTGTATGCTTGTGTCTGGCCCTTGTTTGACTGGCTACACTCAGGTACTTCTCACATTGAATGTAAAGTTGATACTTTGCAATACGAGCATGTGCTTCAGTTCCAATGGTCTCTTACTATGTTTCTTCTCCAGACGCTAAATGATTGGTATGATAGAGAGATTGATGCTATTAATGAGCCTTATCGTCCTATTCCTTCTGGAGCAATATCTGAGGATGAGGTGTATAATGTTTTAGTCTACTATTTGATCATCAAATTCTTCTTGTTTACTACACTTCTTAATTTTTAAATCCTTATATTACCAGGTGATTACACAAATCTGGGTGCTGCTTCTTGGAGGGCTCGGGTTGGCTGGTTTATTAGATGTGTGGGTAGGTCTTCGAAAATGCCATCTCTTTACTAGTAAATGGATATAATTTTGCCCTAAAATCTCTTACCTTATAGGCAGGGCATAATTTCCCAGTGATATTTTACATTGCTATTGGTGGATCCTTGTTATCCTACATTTACTCAGCTCCACCGCTAAAGGTAGCTCATCTCATTTTCTCACCCAATATGAAGATTTATTTTCTTTAAGTTTGGAAAAGGATGAACATTTGAAAACTGAAACCTATTCTTCTGTATCACAGCTTAAACAGAATGGATGGATTGGCAATTTTGCCTTGGGAGCAAGCTATATTAGTTTGCCTTGGTGTGGCATCTCAACTCAGCTGCAATTTGCATAAATTGTATGGACAAGAATTGAACCCTATGGGGCAACTTAAATGCATCATGAATATAAAATTTAAATGCTTTAGGATGATTGCCTTTCACAAGAATTTCGTGCCATTCGTTTCCCATATGCATACAGGCCAAATTTCAGGAGAACTGATAGCTTTTCAAGCCACTCTGGATACTCACTAGATTTATTAATGCTCACTATATTAATTACTTTAATTGGTGTTAAAAATTTTCCAAATATATATATTTTTTAAATTACGAAATCGTGAAGGTGAATTCAACGGTTAAAATGTGGAAATAATGTTGCATGATGGCTCAGTAAATAATTATCAGAAATTTCTTGTGATACAAATGCGTGCTATGTATATTATACGTTCCTTTTTTGGCTGTAATTTGTGACGTTTAAATTTTGTCTTGATTTTTGAATGACAGGTGGGCTGGACAAGCCCTGTTTGGGACCCTTACGCTTGACGTTGTTGTTCTAACACTGCTGTATAGCATTGCTGGGGTACGTAATATCCTTCATGCCCTAGTGAACCTTCAATTTGACATCATCCTCAGATTTTGGAGATGATTTTTTTTGGTGCATACACGTCTATTTTCATTCATTCATTTATTTATTTTTTGTTTTTATGTTTTAGCTCGGTATAGCAATTGTAAATGACTTCAAAAGTGTTGAAGGAGATAGGAAAATGGGGCTGCAGGTTCTTTCTATTGCTAAATTTGACTTGATAGCTTCTCGTAGATATCACTGTATACAAAGGAATGCATATACTTGTGTAATATTTGTTTAATGACATCTTACAGTCACTTCCAGTAGCTTTTGGAACTGAAACTGCCAAATGGATCTGCGTTGGTGCTATCGACATAACACAGTTATCTGTGGCAGGTAATTGCTGCCGTCTATTTCAATGTCAATTTGTTATGCAAGTTTTTGGTGCCTAACCTTTGAATTGCAATGTTTTCTATGATGGTTTTGCATCTAGCCTTATGTACGAGCTTTTGCTAATAAACTTCGTGCCCATACATTTAGTATTATCTGAATTGATTTGGTTATAGAATCTTTTGGCATACTTCTTAAATTTTATCAAAACTGAAATAGGAATGTAAGTTGATGATATGCAGAAGATTTTTTTCTTTTCAATGTTTAGTAGGATCGAGGATCTTATAGAACTTTGCCAGTTAATAATTCAGCTCTTTCTGATTATTGAGTTGAACTTGAGGAAATAAGCAAACAAGTGGCTAATAACACAAAGAAACCATAAGTCATCAAAACGATAGATGAAATTGTAGTGATCCTTGCAATATGGGACGTGTTTCATTGCTGCTTTTATTTTTTGCCAAGATTTAGAATTGATGTTGGGATCTAGCAATGAATGGTTACCTTCTGCTTGAAACTTCCTCACTGCAGCATATTTTATTTGTTGCAGGCTATCTTCTGGCTTCTGGCAAACAATATTATGCTTTAGCACTTCTAGGCTTAGTCGCCCCACAGGTCTTTTTCCAGGTAAAACTTAGTGCTCCAAATATCTATCTATCATTGATGGTGAGCTCTGCAGATTTTTCCCAATATCAACACGACTCTGAGGAAATGACATTTGTAAAGAAAATTCAGCATTTCAAATATTAGCATCTGGATAAATAACCAATAAGAAAAGAGAAAATAGAAGAGAAAGGAGAAAGAAGAAAATGGAACCCTTGTATCTTTATATTTTGTTGTGCATGTATCTTGCTGGAAATTAAGCTGTTCTGACTTATGATTGTATGCCGTTGCAGTTCAAGTACTTTCTCAAAGATCCAGTTAAATATGATGTCAAATATCAGGTACGCCATCTTTCCTTCTGCGGGAATAGATACATATCACTCTTACAAGGGTTATTGACATTTTGACAAATATTGCTTGCTTGGTAGTGCTTTTAAGTGTTTATAAGCTATGGGTCCTAGGAATGTGGATAATAAGTAGGGTAGTAAATTGTGGGTCCTATGCAATGTGTTGATACATAGACCAGCTTTAAATAAAATCAAGCTTAGCCGAACATGCAAAAAATGCAGCTGTGGACGGCAGATTAATGTGTGTTGAGAGATTTATAAATCTCCACTGGCGATGCTGTCAGTTCGGTCTAAATGCTTGGTGCTAATACCAAACAGACCAAAACATTCTCATTAAAGAAAGTTCTTTGGATTGTTATACATGCATGAGCCAATGGAAAGTTACTCTTAGGGGTATGAAAATGCATTAACGTTGAGTTTATACCAGATTCTCCCTGCGAATGGCTTTGGACCCCGTCATAGGATCATCTAGATGTGTTGTCCATCCCAGAATCCTCGACCTACGTACACCTCACGACATTAGAATATTTAGAATCCTCGACCTTCAATTCTGAAAAATGACATTCCAAATACTTGGAATCGTGAAACCATTATTTGTCAATTGTGCAAACGTGATGGGAGAGGATTGGTTTGGTCTGATTTTCAAGAAAACCGAACCAAGTGACAAAGGCACAACCATAAGCACTAGTCACCCACAAACAATAAGGCATCCCTTAATAACTTGTCCTTATACAAAACCCTCTCCTCCAAATGTTACTAAATCAAACAAAGTTCTCTTAGTTTTACATGAAATATGTAAAATTCAATATATCGACTCTGGTTCTATCTTTCTATTTCAGGCCAGTGCACAACCGTTTCTTATACTTGGTCTGCTGGTAACCGCATTGGCAGTTAGCCATTAATCATCATGTTGGACTCGATAATAGAAATATGGGAAATCACATTGCACTTGGAAGACCAAAAGTGCCTGGCTTCATCGAAGAATAAAAGGGACGTCCAGATGCTGATTTGCATGGCTTCTGTGTAGATCCCACCGTTGTATGTAAATTCTCTTTACTGTTAAGCTTGTTTTCGGTATTTATGCTTCATTTTTCTGTCTATCTTTGAAGAGATGTTATCTTCATTGTTGGACTATTGAGGCACACATTTCTGATATCCCCCTTTTATTCTTTTATAGTTTACATTGTTAAATTCTTACAACAATTTCGCGTGTACTCATTTTATTGTCCAAAATCGTCTTGCTGTTGGAGACTGATCTTGCTAAAAGCACAAGTTGAATAGTAGTCTTGGGCATGTTTGACTGATTTAAAAGGTTTACTTTTCAAGTAAATAAACTTATAAGTACAAAAGTAAATTTAAAAGAAATAACTTTTTAGTTGGTTGTGGGGAAGGTTATAAGGTTGTCGGAACGTATTATCCTATACAGGTGTTCCTAGGCTTCAAGGCCCTTGTCACCAGTGCCGCTGGGTATGACGGTCTCTCCTTCTTGCTCTCTGCAATAATGTCGATTGCTCAGCACAGTGAATTCGAAGTATATAAGAAGCAATACTGTAAAGAGGGACATTTGGCGCCAGCGCCAGCGCCAAAGCCAAAGCCAAAGCCAAAGCCAAAGCCAAAGCTGCAGTGGGAGGAGAAACAAGAGATTTCTTGCTTAATTAATCTCAGAAATCCAACTAACAAGACAGGAGTCACAAAGATTTATAACCTTCAAGGTGTCACGTTCAGCCATTGGAATTTCAAAGCCGTTGTCCTAAGCAAACAGCCGGTCGTCCTTCTCTAAGTGCAGCTGCCTTGGCTGCTTCAACACTACATGTTACGTTTCGATTATGTACCATTTACATAAATTGATAGAGCCTCTAAAAAATCTGATAAAATTTTAAAGTTAAAAATTAATTTTAATCATATATTTATAGAATTCACTAATTTTCAACAATACATTCTATTAATTTTCATCAAAACTGACTAAAAATTTGATTTTTATCTCTATTAAATGGGCAAAGTATTGAAAAAGAAAACTGGTGTTACAAATGAGGGGTAAAAAATATTCGGGAACATGGAAAAAAATTTGAAAAAGGACAGCGTTCTTTGACCCTCTCTCGATATGGATAATTCATCACGTCCCGACCCGACTTTGCCCATCAAGGTGGAATAGGCTATAAATTTTAACGGGAAAATTTTCATAATTAGGAGGATTACAATATACAATTTCAAAATTTTAAAACTTCAAAAAATCAGATGATAATTAAATAAAAAATTATTTAATTTTTATTAATTAGATCAATAAGATTAATAATTAAATAATATTAATTGATCATTAATTATTTTTCGATCACAATTTATTTATCGATCGCAAATCGAAAGTTTTATAGGTTGTAATTTATTAATTGGTCAAAAATAAATTTTATTATATGTTACAATTTATTTATCGTTTACAAATTGCAAATTTTATAAGTCATAACTTATTTTACAGTCACAAATAATCAAACTAATTGTCACAAATTATATTTCGGTCACAACTTAATAAATTGTGAGTCACAAATACATTTTTGAGGTCACATATTATTTATTGAACATAAATTAACCAATTTATTGATTATAATCAACCAAATAATTTGTTACAAATATCCCCACGCCATCCCATCTTACCCAAAAGCTCCGCACCATTGCCACCACCACCACCATCGCCACTACTGCTACGACCACAAGCAACATTACCACCACCTTACCAGCATCACCGACATCACAACCACTACTATACAAACACAACCAAAAAATCAAATCCAAAATTATCACAGTGACAGCTACGACCACCATGAACATCACCACCACCTCACCGTCACAGCCAACATCACAACCACAACCACAACCACCAAACACTACCAAAAAATCATATCGAAAATTATCATAGTCACTGCTTTGGTGTCTTGACATCTAGAGACGAAGGCAACGTATCAGTCTTTTAGAAGCGGTTATTGAATATTTTTAGCAACGTCTTGGCATCACGCGGCAGGGCATTGCACGTTTGTAGCAGCGTTTTTATCACAGTGGTTGTTCTCAAAGCAGCGCAAATAAAACTGTGTCGTGAGCATTGGGCTGACGGGGTTGTGAACCAAAGGTGCCTCTGATGATGGGGTGTGGTAAAGGTATATAGAGAAAGAATTGAAAGATATAGAGATAGAAAGAAGAAGGGGAAGTAATTTGGGGTTGGATGAAATTTGGTGGGGTTGATGGAGGTAGGGTGAGTATATAGGTTAATTTAATTTTATAATATTATTTTCAATATTAAATTCTCATATGATTTTTGTGTAAATAAATTATAAATCTGATTTTTGAAATGATAACGTAAAAATTCTAGTTCTATGTAATTTCCACAATTTTAAAACTTCATATAGAAATTCATGTTGAAAAATTGGCGCATAATTATATTTCTTATAACTTCACAGGTATACAAATAAGATAAAATAGTAATTTACTTGTGCAGAATATCTCTACTTGGTAAGAATCTATCGAATTCATTTGGCTAATCAGTACACGCAACATTTTTAAAGTGTTGTCTGTTATTGCAAGCCTAGATAATAAATTAAGCACATGATCTCTCACATTAAACTTTGAGTCTCTATTATGTTCATTGTCTTGGCCATGAGCTCCTTAGGTTCTCAACTGTGCTAGAGAATTTTCCTAGAACTAACCAAGTTTAGACTCACCTATGTTATGTTCTATAAAGAGTATACTATAATACTCCACTTATATTGTTTACAAGATATATTCATCATTAAAAATATAGCTTATCCTCAATAATTTTTTGTAGACATCACTTATATACATCGCACAGATAGGGAGGTGTTGAACTCCTAAGTACTTCTAGTCTAGTCATGCATAATTAATTTTTCTATTAAATCTAGTCCGTGAGATCTATAGCCGTTAGATTAGATTTTCATTAAGTTGACCAATGAGTTTAGGCTATACACTATTTTTCCTACATGCACAATTTATTCACTCTATATAATTTCTTTGTAAATAGATTCGCTAGGTTATCCAACCACTTACCAAAATTAATTGATATTGTTCTATTTGAGAATAATTGTCGAATGATATTTTGTTTACGATATATTTGTCTTGATACATGACATGTTGTGTATGTAGCTCATATAGAGTGAAACAGATGTTTATTGGATCAGGCATCGGTTTTGCTGGTTTTAATTTACTGTCTGTTTGCAAGGGATGTTGAATAGTTTGGGAGTGCGGGGGCAATGCCCAAGCAGAACAGTACATGGATAGTTTTTTTTGTATGAGCCCTAAAATCTTGTATGAATTTGGGTTAGGATTAGCATAAACATTGATGATGTAATCCTATTATTCATACTAAGCCGCTGTTTGGTAGTAATATTTCACCCAAAAAATCAAATTTTTGATCGTTATTTCACTATCCAACCGTCATTTTTGACTTCTTCATTCGCAGGTGAGACTCTAATGGTTAAAAAATCAATTCTTATAATCACTACCAACTAGGCCCTAAATAAAAATATCTTCACTTCGCTTCTTATAGATGTAGGCACATCATCGAACCAGAGGTATATAACTTGTGCTGGTTTCTCTCTTTAACTTTTCTATTATTGCATATAAAATCCCTCATAACAAATACAAACTATTATCAATAAGGAATCTTCTATTTCTTTTTTAATTTTTTTAGCCCATTGTGCTTCCTTCTAACTTTATTTAAAGTTCTAGTTTGATCATTCAGCTCAAAAAAAATTTATAGACGATTTCCAAGATAAGTGCACTCTCAATAGTAAAACATATCCTTGCATTGGATATCCAATTTACAATGTCATATGCCTTGTAAGTTTAACAAGGTATTCAGTATAGTACAATTCAATATTTTGAATATCACAATATATTTGGCACACGTGTCATAATCGGTCTCGTTTCAACTATTTTTGGTTTAGGGCACAACACATTTGTGAATTATTCTCATACTTCTAAAATTTGTACAAGGTATATCTCCCTTTCAATCTTCATAAAAAAAATTTCTACGATGTAAAAGGTATTCAACAAGAATGTAATTCATAGAAATCACTACTATACAAATCCTGGGTAGATTCGAGTTTAAATTAAAAAGAAAGTTTATCAATGACATTTTAACAATTCTGGTTTAGACTCAGAGTTTATAAACTCTTTTTTAAAGTTCAATTCTATCGTTGATTGTGTCTATATCAACTAAGTAAAACGATGTCCTAGTCACTGTAAATATTTTTTCTTATATCAACAAATAATAGGATCTATAATAATTTGTTGATTAAAATAAACCTAGAAGTGTATAATAAGTTAAAAGTCAATAAGATAACAACTTAAGGACTCTTATAGTCCATTATTTGAAGAGTCCCAACATATACAAGCCATTTTCCACGTTTCATCATAAATCATATAAGAAATAAGAGTTTTTGTCACAAATTGAACACTATAAGATAAAATGCAATATACAATTTTATTGGCTTGCAAGTTGCAATGCTAATGAATAATCTATGTATCAACAAAACATCAGAAAACAAATTGCATTCTGACCTAATGCAAACTCAATATTGCACAAGAGGCTGAGTTACAAATAATTCATTGATTGTGCATCGATAACTAAGTTCAATTTTTTACATTTCAATGCACACAATTGTACATGTTACGTTGAAATCTCCAAGTGTACGAGATCATTGTGCAAGTAATAGAAACATTAAGTTTATATTCGAGTGAGTAGTGATAATAAAATAGTGATTTTTTTGTTGTTTATACTACTTTTAATCAGTACTAAAAAGCAAATAAATTGTGAATTTATCGAATGTCAATGCTTATATTGCATTCATGATTCTCACTATTTCCTTCTATTTAAATTATTAATTAATAATCTTGTTGAATTCATGCATTTTTTTACAACCGATAACCCTAATATGTTAAATGCTTTTTTCCTAGATACACCAATCTATGATTTACACAATTCAATTCTATTTCTAGTTCGAATTCATATAAAAATCATGCATTTAATTTAGGTTATTTACATGATTGTCTATGTCATAAATATTATTTCTAATACCTATTATTCATGTGTTGATTTTACCGCATTCTAAATTCATTGTGAGTATTCCTACATTACAACAAGTTATTAACTATTCAAGTGATGAGAAAAAAATTAAATAATGCAATCGAAATGTTATATCAATAATGAAATATCAAGAAATATCTAAATTAAAGTCTTAAATTGAAATAA